CCTTAGGATTCTTGCTGATTTGCAATTTTTTCCTTTGAATATTTGTTGTGCTTTTGATTCTGGCAAGCCAGTCCTTTTAAAGTCTGGCTCCCTGCAGGCTCTGCAAGCAAAGTTTTTCTTTCCTTTCCTAACTGCTTCTACCTCTGCATTTGCCATTTGTTGTCCCAGCCTTGCGTAGCATAAGAGGGTTGGAAGATGGGTGGAATCATAGCAGGAAATTTTTCAGCTGGAAGTTTCTAAGAGTATTGTTCCTTGAGAGTTTTAATTCCTATTCTGGGGAGCAGCATTGGAGCACACGCCTACCTGCCTTCCTCCCTGTGCAGAGTAAGTGAAGGTTTCCAACACACCCTCTACCCCAAATATTTAATCTTTGGAATTAAATGAGAAGGGGACAAGTCAGCCACAAGAAACAGAACTATCATCTGTAACCAGGGAGCTCACCACTCCTTCAATGATGTGTTTGCTTCTGCATTCCCTGGACCTTAAGCTCCATGAGGGTAGGGACTGATTGGGTTCCATTATTCACCAATGCCCAGGACCTAGCACAGTGCCAGGCACCATCCAACTGTATGGACGTGAACTCTGGACAGTTACTGAGGTCCTGTCAATGCCAATGACTGCTACCCAGTACTTCTGAAATAGAAATAATAATCTTCACCTTAGCACCCTGGTGCTAAAAAAGCATATCCTTTCTAGAGAGAAAACCAGCAATTTTCAAGAAAGTTTAAAATGCTCTATGCATGGAATCACTACTCTCACATTGAAGGATCTGTCCTGAGGAGATAGTCTGAAATATGAACCAAAGACATAAAGATATGTGCAGTCTGCTTTAATAATCATTTTTATAAGGAAACAAAACAATACTTAACGAAAGCTGACATTCCATCAGTTGAGGTATATTCAAATGAGCTTTTGTATTGCCATTCAAACTGTTATAATTACAAGGTTTAATGAAGTGAGAAAGTGCTCAGAATATAATGTTAAACGAAGAAAATGAAGGGGAAGCGTTGCACACAGAGCATGACACCGGGGTTTTTGAGGAAAACTGGGAGATCACTATTTTCCTCATGCTCTTCTCCATTTTTCAAATTTTCTGTGAAGAATACGTGTTTATTTTTTTCATTATAAAAATGTTATTGATTTTTTTTTAATTCCCATTT